CTACTCAGTCCATTTATACACAACCTTACAATCTTAACAACCTCATAACTGCTTCTAACCACTCTAACTAATTAACCAACTGCACACTAATTGCTTGCACACACACACACATACACACTCCAAGCCATACTGCACACACACACACATATGCACATAATCATGTAGTCATGCTTCAATAAATTAACTTAGAATTGTAATTTTATAAATTTGACTATTAATGTTTAATTCGACACGATCAAATGTTGATCCTACATGATAGGATGATAGGGTTCAAGCCAGCATCATCATTGGCTCGTTTTTTTCTTTTTGCTTTTAATTGTTTTCATCATTTGAGTTAAAGTCTCACGTTCAATTCTTTTCCTTTTTCAAGTGTAACCAGCAAATGACAATCCAAAAGAATCTAATCTATTGTAGAGTTTTAACTTCACATATAAAAAAAATTCTAATTGTGTAATATCTTTAAATTTAAATTTTTTAAAACCTATATAACTTAGATGTTGTATAAAAAATTAGGGTAAACTATATCAGTTACCACTAAACTTTGTTCGTTGACTTATATATAGCATTGAACTTTCAATTTTACCAATTATAACATTAAATTTTAGTTTTGTATTCAATTATATCATTCTACCATTAAATCAGTAAAGGTACATCATTTTGGTGCGGCTGTTTTGATGCCTAAAATGACGTCATTTTAGATACTGAACCTTAAAGGTGTACAGATTTTGTTATTGAACTTTTAAATAATTTACTTTTTTGACACTATACCCGTCACGGATCATCTGTTGTAGCAAAATCAATACCAAAATGTTCGCATGTCACTCTTCATTCTTCTACCATATTAGATTCCACAAATGGTATAGTGCATCTCATCCGATATGAACTATGCTTCCCCCCACCCAACCCCCACTTAGCCTAAGATTAAGCTATTATTATGAACTTTGCAGAGAAATTCAATATACTACATAGGTATTTGGCATGACTTTCATACCATTTGTAGGGAAGAAGATTATTTAGGCTTGTATAAAGGACTCTGAGCAACATTCAGGCCCAATGATTCCAGCATAATGGTTAGTCTTGGCTGTGACAGTGAATGGATGTAGAATTCAATGATGAATGTTTTTAGTACCTTATTGTCTAAGTTGAAACGCCCCAATGGTTAGAACGTGGGATTTTGCACTTGGGAATATATAATAGTAAAGTGCTACAAATTAGTTAGAAGCTAATCTTGATCTCTGCATGGCTTTGATTTTCTTCACTGACAATTTGCAGTGACTTCTTCCGTCGATCTTGTGAGGAGACGAATGCAACTTGAAGGGGCTGCCGGGCGAGCTCGTGTTGGTTTGCTTGGTACTTTCCGGCATAAAATCCAGTCTGAAGGCCTCCGTGGTTTGTATAGAGGGATTCTGCAGGAGAATTACAAGGTTGATCCTGGTGTAGGCGTCTTCTTTATCATGGATGGACCTAGGTGGCAGGAATGGGCGGGTTGTACTTTCTATTGAAACTATGTTTTTGCCCTCCTAAAATTTTGTAAGTTTACCCCTACTTAAAATTTAATAAATTTGTCCCTACTAACATAAATTCATGCGTCTGTCCCTTATCTTTATAACCTAGAGACATTGAAGATGCTTCTATCAAGTATTCCTACCAATTATTAGCTTCATCCCCAACTCCTTTTTCTTCCATAAATGTTGTATGTAACACTAGTCATTCAGTTCTTAATTCAGGGTAGAATCCTAAAGCAGCCAGTCAAGGTAGAAGGCTGTAGGTAATCAAATTGTTAATTTTTGTGGTATTAGTATGAGAAGCCCTCGTGGTAAATTTTGATGTTGTTGCCATGGGTAGGTAATTAGTATTGTGAGAGATGATAAATGTATCCATATACTAGATGTAAATGTGGCATTCTTTTTATTTGCAGCAGTTGATTATGTTCGATAGAGATAGCTATGGAGCCCCAAATTAAAAGATACGCTCATAAAGCTCAAGATTCTTCAAGTGGAATTGTAAGCTTCAAGCATAAACCTTCTTGTTTCATAGTGTTAAACATTTTTTTTACAAGTATCCAGGGAAGATCTCTTCATGATGAAAAAGCAGTCAAGATCATCATACCATCATTGTATATGTAAAGTAAGGCCATCATTGGTTCGAGAACATAATCAATGTTGATTCCCGTAGGAGCACCTTATCTCCCTTTATACTTTCACAGTTTTAGTCCCTAATATATGGACTAATTCTCCTCGTTAGCCTTCGGAGCCACTACAAATATCCGTTTTCATGCATGAGGGCCTCAACTCCTGTTTTTTCCCTCAACTTCTTTTACTCTTGACATGATTTCTTTGCAAGATTTCATATCATTAAGGACAGGGTAATCTGCATCCTGAGGTCCAAATCGACATGCTTGTTGACTTGTTACATCTGGACCTGGGGTTGCAGATTACCTCCTCCCCACTGCTATACGAAAACTTGTCACTCAACCTAGGTAGTTGCACTACAAAGAGGAAATAACGCTAATCTTCTTATTTTGCCCTCATTCTATGGCGGTTCATGCATCAAATATGCTGATATTTCTCATTGCCCGTTGATGCTTATTTAAGGGCATGATATTTCAGAGGCCAATGCCATCCTTGAAGGTTAGAAACTTCATCGCCTCTACATCCAGAAAATAGAAATTTGCAAACATGAAATGCAAAATCCAAAGTCGTTTCCGACCACAACAATGCTGAGCACGGTTGCCCATCAACTTCATAGGGATCACTCAACATTCTCCACACATACTTCATTTGCAGGTCTGGCACAAAACCCACTTGCAGAAGACATCTCACAAGCATGGATTTAATTCCCTACTTATAATCATAGCGAATTCTCAGAGTTTTTGATTTTAGAATCAGTTATTTTACTTATATTCAGATTTTTCTAAACACCAAGGTACTTTACAACCATTGAACAATGCAGCTTTCAGTAAACATTTTCCTTCCCCTTTTATCTTATTATAGTTAGATGCTTTACAGGAGCCATCATTCATGCATTATTTCTTGCACCAATGACCAATCTAACGTCTTGTTAGTGTAAGGATTGATATCATACCCGTAGAAATCCACGAATGTCATCAATGTTGAGACCATGAACAGGTTTTATTGAACCTTGGCTTGCAACCTTCGTTTAGTTCTGGCTACTTGGATCGGCCATCTCGTTTCCCGGCAGGCAAGAGCGTTTTGGGTTTGGTGTATTGACACAGATCCCATTCCTCCCACAAATCCCATGCGCTTTACACAGTTGTAGGGCAGCTTCCCAGGTGATCTTCCACAACTCTGTTCTATAATTCAATCTATTTACCCCCGAGGTTTCCGTCCTAATCAATTGTCAGCCTCCTCTTGATCCCAAAAACCGAATCAGAACCACTGAATTTCGACCTATCACTTGATGAAAACCTGCCCATGTCATCTTAAAAATACAATTCTGGTACTGTTGTAGCTTGTTCTTTCATTTTGAAATTCAGTATTGTCAAAGAAAAAAACTGGAACATCCAGCAGCATATCTTCCATTTCCTAAACTGGAAACCAACTTCTTACTCTTGGTAAATAGTCGTTGAGAAACAAGTGTATGTATAGGGAAACCAAAGCTTTGCCAAATAATTCTGTCTGAAGAGTTATTAAGAACATGATTTCCGTTATCCAAAACCTCTGCTTTTTGAACATCGATGGAGCCGGTGTTTGTCTGCCATATGGTGGAGCCATCGATATCTGTCAAGCCAAAGGCGCCATCCCACTGCAGGGAAACTATGGAGGCTTTTCCATTGGTTGGTTCGGCAAAATTAGCCATCCAAACAACTGTTTTCTTCATCGATGGTGTCCGAATTACGGTTTCAATTGACAAATAGTTCATTATTCTTGATGGTACTAAGAAAGATGGTTCCAAACCCCAAAGGCGCCATCCCACTGCAGGGAAACTATGGAGCCTTTTCCATTGGTTGGTTCGGCAAATTAGCCATCCAAACAACTGTTTTCTTCGTCGATGGTGTCCAGATTACGGTTTCAATTGACAAATAGTTCATTATTCTTGATGGTACTAAGAAAGATGGTTCCAAACCCCAAGGACAGGAGCAAAAAATACATCGGATATAAAAAATTAATGCATCCATATAAAATCATTCACAACCTGAAGGTGCGAGGTTTTTCGCTATCTGAGCAACAAATTCAGACGTAAGGAACTACAACAGGTAACTAAGAATCAACCGCAGCTAAGAGACACATTACTAGCCAGCCTTCCCAACAACTATAACTAATTGCTTATGTAAATTCTGCACCTTATGTTCTTTTCTGTTCATTTTCTTCTTTAACGGGAGTATTGAGTAAAAATATTCTCCAACGTCTCTTTCCAATATTTAAGACGGAAATCGTCTGATTTACAGAAACAAAGAGTTATTGACAATTTACACCTTGTCTGCTATTGCAAAGAATTGGAAGAAACCGCATTTTACATCGACAGCAGCCATGCAACCTTATAATAACAAGATCTATGAGTTTCACATCATCCGAGCCTTCATTGCCTGAAAAATCCAAACACAGCAGTAACAATGAGAATCATGAATAAACATGAGCTTCTCATGTAACAAGAGGTAAACTACAAGGCAAATCTAAAATGGATGTGGAATGATGAATATGAAGGTTGATGGTATGAGTTGCAAGTGGAAGTAACAGAGTTCAGATATGATAAAATCAATGACCCGTACAACACCAGCACCATGACAACAAATTTTTGAAGCAGTGCTACCATGATTTATTACATGAAAACTTTCAAGAGAGTTGTTAAACTAGTAAGTGTCTGGTCAGTCAAGGTCATTTTGACACAAACCCAAGAATTTTGACTAGACCAGGCAAAAACGGAGTGGTGAATTTCAAACTTGATCCATGGAAAAATTTGTTTAAAAATTTTAAAACAAATTGAACGTGTTCCAATTGTATAACAAATGCAAACACATTCTTTTTACCCACTAGGCCAAGTGACTAAAAAAATCAGCAGAAGCTAAAATTCACTCATCTGAGTATATCCCTATTCCATGCACATTTGAGACGCAAATTGTTCTATCACCTACCATTTAACCCGAGTAAAATATTTGATTTCAATTGCAGATTTATGATAATCAGATGGAAACAAAAGCACTAAAGGGTAGTTGTAGATACAAAGTAACTAGTATCGCCATATAGAGAAGGTTTTGAAACATAATGCAAGTGTGGACTAGAGAAAACAAACAAATTAAACAGACCAATATGCTACAGCACATATCAGTATAGTGAACTAGAAAATTTCATGATATACATAAGAATAGCATGTGAATATACAGAATATCCCAAAAACAATAAGGTGAATTTAACCAACAGTGAATTCCGTTGGATTTTTAACTGATAAAAACTAGAGAAGTAAAACAAAAATAACATTGGATGTAAACAAGCTTACATGCTATATACTATATGATCTATAGCTCACTGTAATTGCGCCAAACTGCACGAAATTCCTCACGGAAAGTATTAAGACGAGCCTTCAGGTTAGGTGTTCTAAAACTTGCATGAAGGATAGTGGCTGAGAGAGAGCAAGAGAAAGAGTTATAAGAAAAAGTGACATCTTAAGGAGGGGGAATGAGAAAAAAAAACGAGATAAGATCACTGACCAAGCAGTGCAATGGCAAGTGCCCATAGCACAGTCAAGAGACCACAGGATACATACCAAAGGATGAAACTCACTGCAAAAAGAAATGTAAAATTAGTTGCTTTAAATACTACATCGGATTGCAAACAGAAAGGTTCTGATTTCTTAAGAGAAACATTTCTGAAACACATTGATACCAGATGAGAATACGAAGACAAAGACCCAACGAGGCCGACCACATATGTGAATTGCTCTTTTAGCTGACGGACGACCACGGATAACAAGTCTGACAACAATGAAAAAGTTAATAACCAAATCAAGGATATATAGTCTGCAAACAAAAAAGTAATAAAAACTTACGTAAGAGGGGGTCTCATCTTAGCTGCTAAATGTGGAGAGAATTGTCTCACAGTTCTAGTCACCTTCTCACTAAAAGTACCAGAAAAGCTGTAAAAATAATACATGAATTGTTATAGACATGAGTCAGACACTACATCTAACCATATCTTAACCTTCAATACAAGGTCTCATTCATCCATTTCAAAGGTAACATCCAAAATAACATAACTGACTTGAAACCCAGAACACTAAACAAATAGGTCTGCCATTGCCTACCTATCATTTAGAAAAGCAATGCTAAGCGCTGTTAACATCGCAGCTAAAATAGCAACCGGTCTCCTCAGGAATCCCAAACCTGCAAAAATAAAAAATAAATATCAACAAATAAAAATACATGTAATGAAAATAAACTCGAGCGCCACCGTTGATTTTGTCCGCTTACCAAGAATAGCAACAATCATAATGAAATAATTGGTCCGGTAGCTGCAAAGTGAAAGAAAAACATAAAATTAAAGTAAGAAACTAAACGAAGTAATTGATCTAGTATTCGCAAAAGCACAATCAAGATCAAGAGTCGAGTATTCTCTTTATTTATTTATAGCAAAAAGTTTCATTAATATTCTCTTCTCGGCAAACAAACAGCACCGATCAAGATTCAAACTGATTGGAATAAAAGAAAAAGAAAAAAAATACTAGTAGAGATTGCATTTAAGGCGGCTATTCCATTTGGCGTATGATCGAGGGACGGTGAACCGAGAGAAGAATTCGGGGAGAGGACGTGGCGGTGATGACCAGTCAACTTCACGTAGCGCGTCAATCAGATCCTCTGCGGTCACGTTTCCCCAATCCATTCGATTTGATTATGTTCGATCGTCTTTTCTTCACTATACGAAACCCTAGAAATTGGGGGAGAAAGGAAACTTTTACGAGGAAAAGTAGCCGAGGAAGCTAACCGATTGTTTGGGAATTGGAAGCGTGTTTTTGGAGAGTTCTTGTTTTGAACAGAAGAAGGCAAAATGGTGTTTAAAAATTAAAAAATGCTTAACTGCTACGGAATTAAAAGAAGCGTTGTATTTTCTTCCGGAGCCGAATGCAAAAAGAGAAAAGAAAAACATTAATGTCTGAGCCCGGGTTCGAACCGGGGACCTCTAGTGTGTGAGACTAGCGTGATAACCAACTACACCACCCAGACAACTTGATAGACAGTGTTTAATGAAATTATAAAAACAAGTTACGAAAGTCGATTTTTTTATAGAAGCAGCTATTTTTATCAAAAATAAAAAATATCTAAATTACAATAAACATTTACAATCACAACCGTAAACTAAATATATAGTAAATATTTTTTTTATAGTCATTAACATAAAAAAATAGTTATTTAGGGTCATACAAGGAAAATGTTAAAAAACTTAACCAATTAAATTTGAACAAAAAGGTAAATAAGAATAGATATAGTCACATTGACAAACGAACCACAAAATGATCAAGTTATTGAAAGATAATTGATAAAATCACAAATAAGAATAAAGCGACGTGAGTAAACTGTCCACAAACATAAATCTCGTATCCAAATCTAATCAGAGGGTCCAAAGCCGAGAAGATGAAAATGATAACAATTATGTGCCATCTTGATCAGTCATGACGATAACAAATCAAATCTTACGAAAAATGATAAACAAAATAACTGTCAAACGATAGAAAACATACTAAAAGATTAAAAAAAATGTCATAAAAATAAAATTATTAATAACATAAATATAATGTAATAAAATAGAAGAAAAGTAATGAGTAACAACAGTACCAACACTAAAGTTGATGTGTCAAAAAGTAAAAAAAAGAGACTGCGTTTGAATTCGTCACTTTTACCACTAATATTTTCCAAACCTGCATTATACAAAAGTAAAACCCTATTATAATATGGGGTCGAACGCCGTGTTACAGTGGCAGACACAGTCAAGCTCCGCCGACCGCCTCGTCACTACCAACATACCTCCAATATAATCCATTCAAGCTTCATATGTACATTTCCTTTGTTTTTAGACCGTTTGAATTTGTCACTTTGACCTTTAAACGTTGTTCCGTATTGTTTTATTAACATTATTGAAGAATTCAATACGATCAAACACGTTTTATGATTTTTACTTTTCTGGGTTTTGAAAAGTAAATATTCAGATGAAGAGATTGATTCCGTAGTACATCCACTCTATGAACTATAAAAGGAGTTGATGGATGTACAACTTGTTCATCATCAACACATTAATCCTTTTCGTGGGGAATATTCAATATGGAACCTTGGGGAATTGTACTTATCGTTTTCTCTGTATTCTTCTGTTTGATGCTTATTTTTGCTTTCCTTAGTCGATGTGGTTACGTTGGGAATATTAAATTTCACGGCGGCGGCGGCGGTGGTGGTCATCCTCATCACTTTGGCGGAGGTATTCATAGCATACATATCGGCGGTGCTGGGGATGCAGGGCATAGCAGTTGGGGAGGAGGTTTTGATGGTGCAGGAGGAGGAGGTGGTGGTGGCGGAGGCGGCGGTGGTTTTGGCGGAGGAGCCTGTTAAAGAGGCGAGTCACGTCGGTAGGTAATCAGAAGGCTAATGAAGAGCATTTGTTCGATGCTTTGCATGGCTAGGAACAAAAATAAATTTTATTTTTTATTCATCGGTGAATCTTACACCATTGTAGACCAAATAATGTATTCTCCTTAAAAAAACATAAAGGGTAAAATTTGTATTTAGTCACCCAACTATTTATATTCTTAAGTTGTAGCCATTTAATTATTTTTTTTCAAAATCATATCCAAAGTTATGTTTTGGTATCCTTGCGTTAATAAATTAATGGTACTTGTCATCTTAAGATAATATCACATTATCATCAGAAAAAAATGACCACATTAGCAGTTATGTTTTTTTAATGGCAATTGATCAAAACGAAACAAAAACATAACTTTAAGTACGATTTTGAAAAAAATAATTGGATGATTAAAATGGAATCATATAATTAATTTGGTGACTAAATACGTAGTTTACCTAAAAAGAAAAACAACATATGGAGTTTAATGAAGCTGAACTCCGAATCATTGTTACAGCACAAGAGATTTTTGTTAAGAATTAAGATGGGTTGGAAGGTTAAAGCAGATGCATGTGGCGGATCCTTTGTTTATGATGATTTTGTTTTATGTTTTTTTTTTCTGTATATTTGTTGCTGGTGTGAGTATGTGATGTTGTAATTGGCAATTCCTATCAATAAAACTCTTACGTCTCTGTTAAATTCAACTCTAAAATATAGAAAATAACTTGAAATAAGTACTAAATTTCAAGTTTTAAATCAAATTTAAAATTTTCATTATTCAACTTGATTCAACTTAATTATATCATCTTAAACTAAATGATCATATCATCAAATTGTGTGACTTTCCTAAGCCCAACAATTGTAATTTTGGTCCAGCTATATATAATCCCTAGGTTCGAGATTACAACGTACCATTATTATGATGCAGATAATGTTATTTTGATGTCAAATTATATTGAACCATCCCAATAATTTGCGTCTATTGAGGTGTCGATAGCGTATTGGCAAAAACCATGAAAAGTTGTAGATTGATGAAATTTGTGGTGAAAGTGGGGATATGTAGGCGTCTCTCATCACTAAAATGTTGAAAAATATGGTATCCATGCCTCAACGTCCCATCCATTTCGAGTACCCCAACCACTTCTTCCACAAACAATCTATTGCCAATTGCCACTGTATTTAAAGTTGATTTATTTTTCCCTTTGTCCTCTCATCCTTTACTGTGTTCACATGATTCCTCACAGTAGTAACTCCGGCCATGCTATTGTGTCTCAACTGTTTACCAGGAAAAAAACATGTAAGTTGTCTGTCTCGCTTTGTTTCGTCTGGCGGTGTTCGTGGATGGAATTGAGCGAGGACGGACTTATGATCAAATATGGAGAAATATAAAGTATTTAAGTTTAAAATAATAGAGATTTATTATGTATTTAATTAAAAAAAAATCAGAGGGATCTATCACTCATGGAAGGCATCTTGTACTCTCATTTGCATCTAATATGAGGAGATTTCGATCCTGCCACCAGGGGAATCTCTCTCTTTTGATGATGGGGCATTTCATTACGACAATTAATAAGATAAATGTGTAAATTAGCATACTATCTAAGTTATTCTAACTAATCATTACAATAAACAAATAATGTTGGTCATAAAATATGAACCTTTCAGTGTGAAACACATCCCAGATCTTGAATGGTAGGGACTCTCGTTCGGTCTTGTCAATGTTGATTTTTTATGGTGAAAGTTCTTTCTTCATTTTCCTCGAACAACTTTACAAAAGTGTTGAAAGTAAGTTTCATTGTATGCAGGGATGGAACTAAAATTAAACGTGTTTAAATTCAAAAGAACAAGTACTTAGTAAGGATTTAAATTTAAAAATTGAAGGGGACAAAGCTTAGTTTGATCGATATTTAAAGTAATAGGGACCTAAAATGTCATTTGACAAAAAATTGAGAGAGGTAAAGCTTAATTTGATCAATATTTAAAGTAATAGGGATCTAAAGTGTCATTTGACAAAAAAATTGAGGAGGGCAAGAGTCCTTCCCAAACCATACATGTTTCTGTCCTGATTGTATGTCTCTTTGATATTGTTTTGAGATGATAGTACTGAAGCTTTTCTTCTCTCTTTTTCTTGGTAACATTTTTGTCCATCTTTCTTTGATTTAAGGATGAGATTGTGTACTTTGTGTCAACTTTCATGATTGATATATTTGATCAAAGAGGAAATTATACAATCATTGTATTAAAGTCGTCGATGCAGAACGGGAAAAAATGTGATTGTAAATGACAATAATGATTCATTCATTTTAATTTATGTGAAAAAATCGCAGGATAATGATTAAAAAGATTAGGTCTAACCAAGAGGAGAGATGAAAGATCAGTTGATTCGAGTCTAAATCACCTCTCATATAAAAAAAATAAGAAATAAATTTCTTATATACTCGGCTCCCTTGATGTCACGTGGTTGTAGGTGGGCAAGAGTATGGCAAACTATGTATCCTATATCAATTTATACAATAGCATGTAGCCAATACAAATCCTATTATACAATTATTAGCAACAGGTAATCACAATTATATTACTTGACAACTCTGCAAACAACCGGGAATCAACACCGTAATGGAATCAAACGCCTTCAATCAAATATTAAATTACAAAAGGGAGATCAATGATTAGCTCAAAATACCCCAAAGAATTGTCTTCCGACAACCACAAATACCTAGATTGCCCCTTTTCGTTATTCGATGCAATTTTATAATGAAAGTTCATGTCGACTCATCCCCTCAGTGACTTAAACAAATGCTTTCGTAAGCACAAATTCGGGAATCAAATGGTGAATTCGTCGCTTTCTTTACGGACATCAACATCCAAACACGCCATGTGAATCAAGATCCGCCACGTCTTTTTAATTTACTGACAAAAACATTGTTTTATATAGGATAAACTATATCTATGATCATTTAATTATTATCTCTTTTTATTTTGATAATCAATCTTTTAATTTTGTCATTCAAATCATTTAATTATCTATGTGTTATCAATCATGTCATCAATGATTAAACATTCTATCAATTCAGTTATTAATTTTAATTCAATTAAATAAATTTAATCTCCAATTATGATTTATTTGATTGAATTAAAACTATGACCAAATTGATATAATCTCTAAATATTGAGAATTAAATGTATAATTATATTAATATTTTTTAAAAAAACCACATCGATCTTTCAGTTAAAATGTTAATGGCTGATGGTTTAATTGACAAACTTAAATATTAAGTGACATGATTGATAAAATTGAAAGATCAGTTGTCAAAATAAAAAAAGATTATAATTAAGTGATCATATGTATAATTTATCCTTTTATATATGCGGGGAAAGGGGAAATGTTTTCTGCTGCAGAAACCTGGGGTTTGTTCCCAGACGGAACTTGTTTGCGATTGCATGGTTTGTGGTTTGAAAGGGTCGTATTGTGAATAATGGCGGCGTGTATTTGCACACTGGCAAGTAGAAGAACAAAGCCACCAACCCAAGAGAGCCGTGAAATACAAATTTCTCACGTCTTTCAGCTGTATTTTAAAAGTGGTTCGTTGAATTTGCTGGCAATAATTTTTGTCGTATATGATGGGGAGGTTTTCTGATTAGGGTTCGTGGCGAGCGTTGAATCGATCACGATGTTTCCTTCCCCTAATGATTGGAGAGTATAAATATTCAGATCTTATCGATCTGATTTCTAAAGCAAAAAATATCATTGTCTTCGAGTCGCCTCAAAATCAAACTCAGAAAGAAAAAGAAAAAAAGAGAGAGAGAGAGAATCGCAAATTGCTGATTTGATTTTCTCGAGAAAATATGGACGAGTCCTTTCGCCGAGAACGGAATGGAATTCGAGCGAGCTTTCATGAAAAACGTGAAGCGTATATTCGTTAAGGTTAGATTAAAGCTTTTTTGATTTTACCAGTTTTGTTTATTTTAATCGGAAATTGAAATACAGATTCATGGATGGAGGGAAATCTGATTTGAATACCATGATTAAGACATTAATGCATTCAGATTGTGTATTTATTCGCGTAAACGATTGAATTTTCATTAAATTTAATTTCTTGTTAGTATCTTTTAATTTTAATTTTTGTTTTGAAATAATATTTCAACTTATCTTTTATAAATCTTCTCACTGAGTGACCTCAAATCAAAGTAACGAGCTTGTGAAGTTTACACGTGAATTCACATGATGAAATATTTTGATAGATTTTTTTTTCAGTATCGACACATGGATCATCGTTGTCTGCAACAACTTCAGCCCTGTTACCAATGTTTGTTATGTAAATTTTATAATTTATCTTCAAATAAAATAAATAAAAAATATTATCTTTTAATAGTTTAAAATAATTACAAAGATTTTTTTTAAAAAAAACAGTATAAAATTTTACAGATGTCATTGTTTAAATCTATGATCTTTAGAGAAATTAACATTTTTTACCATTAAAATTACTTAATGGATTTTTGTTTTAGATTTTTTATAATTATTTATCAAATAAATTTTTATAAAAATATCTTTTATTCAATTTATATTACGAGTGACAAATCTAATTATTATGAAATTTTTAATTAAGTTAATGTTATGGATTAATTAAATCATCACTCAATCATGTAAAGAATGAGATGGCATCAAGAATGTATCATTGGTTAGTCAAATAACAATTTAATTAAAATAAATAAATTTGTATTCGCTGTTAATTAAGTATCAATTCAGTTGAAAAAAATTAAAATATCTTTTATTGAAAAGATAATTATTAATATTATTCTAAAATCTAAACTTTTTTATTTTTTTTAATAATTTTACATAGTTTTTAAACAATATATAATTGAAAAATCACCGTTTTGAAAATTAAACATAAAAAGATTAAAATATTTATATATAAAAGAAGCAACTTCTTTATCAATCGCACCAAAATGATAAATTAGGGTAAATCCTTTATCTCTACCAAAGTATTGG